ACATTGTCTTCACTAGCTGCAAAGTGTCATGAATGGTAACTACTGACTAGCATACTGTAGGAGGCCTTTAAGAATAGGGGAAGAACTGTTTTGTTGTGGTTCCTTATGCTTAGATTTAGGATATTTATTTAATACTTGGTCACTCTACTTACAATTCTTTGCTGTGTCTGGCTTTCAAATGATAACACAGAATATGAAGTATTTCTTGCTTCATTTCCATATCTGTCCTTCTTAGGGGGGAAATCAACTCCAAACAATGATGAAAACTATCTTAATTTTTTTATTCTCTAATTACACCTCTTCATATACAATTTTCTGCCAGAGAGGGTTTGATTTCCTTCCACGTGGGATAGCTGACCTCTATCATTTTATCATGGTCAGTTTTAACAAAGTCATTAACTAGATGAACATAATATGTAAAAATATCACTCAGATCTTGTTAGATTGACATCAAGCCACAGTACTGTCAATATTAATGCCAATATAATGTTAATTGTCATATTCTTGAAGACGTAAGGAATTTTCTTTTCTCTCCTAGATCTGAACCTAACTAGTCCTCAATAATTAAAGTGGGTTTTGCTGTTGTTTAGGTAGATAAGAAGTCCTAAAGGAGTCACTAATATTCACTTCATTTCATATCGCACTTTACTTGTCAGCTGTGCAGCAGTCCCATGGGTAAAGATGAAGCCACTTAGATATTTTGGCCCATGTATTTAGCATATGATAAAGGCAAGACGTGAAGGGTGTATGCAGATAATGGATTTACAAGCTGCACTGTTGCCAGGCACTTACAAATTGGCTGATAAATTTGATGTGCTCAAAGTCTGAAGAGTGGCATTTGTAATGTAGCAGAGCTACAGGTCCCAGGGTGTTTCTTTGTTACAGCTGGGCAATCCTTTTTGTGCCCTTCCATCATTGCCTCAAAAGGCAGGCTCATCCCAGCAGCCTTCTGGCTCTGAACAACCAGTGGTACACTTAGTTTCATCCTCCTAATTACTTTCCCTTCTCCATTACCTTCTTTAATTACAAGCCAGGCTGCACTTGTGCACTTATCCTTGAATACAGACTTCAGACTCAGTTTGTATGAGGCTTATCAATGCCTCAGTTTCTAAATCAGTTTTACAGGTAGTGATTAACAAAACTCTCATATAAAGTGTCATGAAAGCCTTAGGAAAAATTCTTACCTGATGTTACTCTCTTGATTTATACTTTAAGTTTGCTTAGGTCACAGGATATACCAGCCCTTTATATTTACCTTATTTTGGAGTCCTAAAGAAAATACTACTGCAGGGTTTTTTCACACCTTTTGATTGAGACAGAGGTTCAATTTTAAAGTGTTTGAATATGATTAATTGTTTTCTTCAATAAAATAAAGAGATGCTATAAAACTAAATGAATGTAAAACCAAACGCCTGATGAACAATAGGAGTGTGGAGTTTTTCACAAGTCAGACTGCTCGTAATGAAGATATAATGATCAGTCTTAAAGAATCAAAGGATTCTTTAGAGATAAAAGGGATCAACACCAAGGGCAGTATGCAGGTTTTGGTAAGCAGGTGTCTAGAACTTACTATGCAAATGAAACACTGGACTTCAGTAATTGGAAGCTTTTTTTTTCTAATCAATTCCACCATGTGCAAAAAGCTTCAGTGCCTCTTCTTGAGTTTCTATGCAAGTACTTATGTCTATTTTTTCTATTCTATATGCAGTTTCTCAACATGTTGTCTCATAGCTTATTAATTCTGGATCAACTGACAAAACCCTGGCTTCCTGCTGTGGATATGAATGGCAGGGTTGCTGAAGTCTGCTCCCTCTTCATTCTGATGGGGCTGGAGGAATCTTGTGGGTGCTGTAGCACTGGCTCTCATGTCAGTCATTTTGAGCTGGATTATCTCTGTCTCCAAAAAAATGTTCCCTTCCAGTTTGCACATCATTGTTCAGGGGCTAGAATATGGTCTTTGCAATACTCTTTTTCATGCAGTGTTCAGAGCAACTAACAAACACTAATGGACAACGAGACAGGCATTTATTTTGGCTACTGTCAATAAAGAAGAGATATTTGTTGCTCTCTAGGGCCCTTTCTGTATGTTCTACAATCAGTGTATGTCCTTATCAAGCTTCATACCCTGATATGGTGGCCATGATGCTTATGAATGCTCAAAAGGAGTTAGGTGTCTTTCTGTGTTGATTTGAAAGTCGCAATACCTCAAAGGGTATGAAAGTCTCTCAAGGAAATGAAAAAAATATTCTAGGTGCTGTCTATATAATCCCCCTACAACTGGATTCTTGCAGAGGTACAGATACTGGAACCTACTGGACACATCTTTGCACTGTTCTCATGTTTATGCTTACCTTAGTGTTACCTACCTAGTGGCCATGCACTGTGCAAGGTTATACACTCTCTTACTCCATAAAAGTGGGATTTGACCCCATGGAAAATACACTGACAAATCAAAATGTGTAATCGGTTTAAAGTTCAAGGGTGCAGCCAAATCCTGAGCCAGTGTAATTTGACCTAGATTCACTGGAGCAAGTAGAGATGCAGTGAACTACATAAACAGAAGAACCAACCCACTGTGGTTGCCCTCATACAGTGAGGATGCTGAGGAGACACTTAATGTCTGATGATGGCAGTGGTTTGCTACATAAACAAAAAGAAGTTTCAAAAAAAAAAAAGTTTCCTTAGGCTACTCCCTGCAAATAATAGTGATTGAACACCCAGGATGCTGAGAAAATTCTCAGTTGAGTTTAAGGGACACTAGCAACACACACTTGTTTATTTCTATGCCACTAGGGAAGGGAGTGTTTAATCAAATCAATGTTCCCACTACTTGGGCCAAAATTCATTTGCTACTGATACCTTCGGTAGTATCCTCCCATGCCCCTGTGACCCCTTGCCCCCAAGCTCCAGGTCCATCTAGAAATCGATGTGCTGTGACTTTTAACCCTGCATTAGCATCATTGCAACACTTTTCATCAATAGGTCAGATTTTTTTTCAGAAGCTATTATTCCAAGGACACTCTTTCAAACTTTTTGAGCCAAAGCAACCTTCAGCCTTTATACCACTTAAGATTTTCCCAAATTGGCAATTCTTCCTCCAGAATGTCTCTATGCATGGGAAATCTCAGCAACTCTTGAACTCTAAGGTTACTGGAGATACAGAAGTGCAAAACTTGCTAATAGAAACCCATGTGTAGCTCTGAATGACAATTTCTGAATATTGCTTTCAGTCATCTCAAGAAAAATGCCACGGTTAATTGAACAGCTCTAAGAACCAGAAAGAACAGTTTAAGGGTAGGTTTCAGCTATCATTTCCATTAGTACAAAGGTGCCAATGACTACGCTACCAACTAATGCTTCCTTCATTTGTACTACTGTAACTGACTTCATCTTAGTCCTGGAAGGAGTCAAAATATTTTAACTAGTTCAGGGTATTTTAACTTTACAGTTGACTCAGTCCTCCCGAGCACCTGGATATTAGCTTCTTCCTCTGTCATAAGGAAGACATTACCAATGGCTGGTACTAACTTGGGTTTTGTGCAGCTGTGGTGATTTAGTCATGGATTTTGTGTTCGTGTTCCACCCTACTTGATAAGAAATAGTAATTCAATGATGTAGTGGGAAGTTATGCTGGGGGGCTTAGGCAACATAAACTACTGCACCATTTCAGGTCTTTTTCAATAGGGTCTTCTCATATCCATCATCCCAAGGCTGAGTTGATGGCAAGTGGAATACATAAGAGAAACAGATTCACACTGACAGCAGGTGGACACATGACTGTTAGGAAGAGGACTGAAGTTAATTCATGGAATGACTATTTGAATATTATTCATGTCTGGATTGTTGGGGGGTATGAGAGGGTCCAAACTGATTTTTATTCAAGGAAGGCAGAATTTACTATATATGACGCAAAGATTTTTTTGGGGAAAAAAGCATTTTTGTTGTTAAAATACATAAAAGAAAAACTAGGCTCTGTTGTCAATCATGTCTCAGGCTTCTGATACAATAAGTTTGGCCAAATTATTCATCCCCACCTGCCTCAAAATTTCAGACTGCAAAATACCTGTATGATACTGTCCTACTTTGTAGGGTCAGCATTGCACTCAACACATTGCTGTTTATAAACAGAATGAGCCCTTTGGGGCAAGTTACTATGGCTGCAAAGACACGATGTGCTATGGGGAAATGGTCTTGCTCGCTGAATAGGTGACTACATTGTTCCACTGTAACTCTTAAATGCTGAACTGGAATCTAAAACTCCATTGTTCATTCATCACAGGGGAAAAAAAAAAAAAAAAAAAAAAGGTGTTCCACTACAGACTGCATGGCTAATGCAAGAGCTTCTATTAAGATAACAAATTAACGGGAATAATCGGTTTATGTAACATGCTCAAACGCACCTCGGGGTAGAGAAAAACGCACCTGCTAGGAGTGGGGCAGGGCGAAGAGGGGGCCCGGGCTCAGGGGCTGCGCACCTCTTGCTCCCTCCCTTTCCTCGCTCCACACACGACCGCGTTCCTCCACGTGCCTGTCCCCGCACGCCGCCCGGTTCCCGGCGCTGTGCGGGTGCCCACGGGGCTCCCCCTCCCATCCTTCCTCCCTCCCTCCCTAACATCCCTCTGTCGCTCTTGCCTTCCCTATAGCATCCCTTCACCGCCGCTCGACTCGACCCGCGTCGGGGTGGGGGGCATCTAAGGGCATCCCCCCTTATCCCCCTGAAAAATCACGCCCTAAATGCCGTCCCGTAGGAGTGGGGATAGCAGCGAGGGAGGAGGGAGGGAGGGAGGGATGTCAGCGGGGCTGCGGGGGCTCTCTGCCGACCGCGGCGGAGCTGGGGGCAGGGAGGCACGGCGAGCAGCGGCGGCTCGTTCGCAGCCAGCCCCGGCAGGATGTGTGTGTGTGGGTGTGTGTGTGTGTGTGTGTGTGTGTGGGAAGGGATGCAGGGTGCGATCAGCCCCGGGGGCAGCGCAGGGCAGGGTCCCTGGGCGGGGGACACTCACCATGGCGGCGGCGAGGCGCTGTCCAGGGTATCGCCGGGCTCGGCGAGCTCTGCAGGCGCGGTCCCCGAGCCCCCGCTATAAGGCACCGCCTCCTCCCCGGCTCCGCCGAGCCCGCCCCCGCCGGCTGCCGGCGGACACGGGGCTGGGAGGGACGGGAGAGGAAAGAGGATGGATGGGGAGGTGGTGGGAAGCAACCGCTGGGAGGGGGAATGCAGTGGCTGAGGAGGGGAAGAGGCTGAGTGATGCTGTTCCACCAGCGCCCCAGATGTCACAGCAGGTAGTGAACGTTTGCCTTTGTTGGAATCTTCCCTGTTGGGGAGATTCAATTCATTGATCAGCCACTTTGGGAGCAGATAGGGGCACCGGCTGGCTGCTGTGGTCCTGCCACAGACCTGTTTCATTCAAAGAGGGGTTTGGTCTGTGGCCCAGCACTCGTGTTTGCACCTGAACTTCTCTGACCTGAAGCCCTGAATCCTCCACACACTGCGACAAAGTGAGATCCACCGCCTAAGGGTTAGTGGTTGGACTCGATGATCTCAGAGGTCTTTCCCAATCTAAATGAATCTATGATTCTTCCTGTGGCATCTCCCTGGAGATCTGATCTGTCCATTAGGAAGGGACTGATAACCAAACGTTTATTTAGGTTGGCTAGGGAGGAGGCAAAAATCACACAGAACAGGAGCTACGGACCCTGTCATAACTCTTCCACTGATACATAACAGAAAAAGAGTCAGGGAAGGAAGAGGCATTGTGCTTGGTAGAACAAGCACAAAATTTCACGCCTCCAAATCCGATTTTTTTTCTAAGTGCTAACCAAGTCTTATAGCTCCAATAAAAGATTTATTTAAACTCTCAAAGCTTACTGAAAATGTACTACTTCTTTACCCCTGCTTTCAATAAAGAGGTCTTTGGCATGTAAAATCAAAATAACATTTCTTAAAGTTTATTAAAATTTTTCATTTTTATTTTATTTTCTAAATGAAAACTTGTCAAAAAATGACATATTCATGCATGTGCTTCCATTGTTGTCCTCTCAATTCTGTGCCTAGTTTTGTTGACCAGAGCTCAGAGAACAGTCTTTCCCAGTTTCAGAGGCATAAGCAGTGGAAATAAGTTAAGTGGACCATGTGTGGTGCAGGAATGGTATCATCTTCACCAACTAAAATGTACTTCATCTACAGACATGCTATATTTGTCCAAAATGTAGCACTGATGTTCTGAACTGTGACACTTCCTTCCTGATAGGCTCTTTGTCCATGTACTATTTCACCCCTCACTTTCTCTTGGACACAGAGGTCCAGCAAAGGCAGTGAGAATGGCTATCTTCCCAGGGCTGCCTGCCTGCCCAGAAATGATACTGCCAGGAGATTCACACGAAAGCATGTCCTTATGGAATTTTTAACCCACTTTTACAGACTTGTTCGCTCAAGCTTCCAAATTCCAGTGCATCAGTCTACACTGAACTACTGCATGTCTGAGGTTGACCAGGCACCCTTTACCCGATTTCACCTTTCTGATAGGTTATTCATTTAATTCTTTATGCATTACTACAAACCATCCTGAAACACTAAGGAAAAATACTTTTTAATATCCATTCTGTCCCCAGAGAAATTGTTCCCTAAGCAGAAAATCATCCTATTTGTCAAAGAGAATACTCTTTAGGTGCTATAGAGCAAAGAGCAGTTCGGACGCTGAATGACAGAGAAACATGGTAGTGAATTGGTGCATTGGAATGCCTCACAGTTTTTGTTCCAATTCTTTATAATCCAAACAGGTTGGAGTTCATGTGTCAAGCCAAAAGCAGACCTAATAATACAGTAATATATATATTTTTTAAAGTCTTCTTTTTCTTTGTCTAAAACAGTAAGGAAATATATTCAAGTTTGATAAATATTTCTAATATTTATATATATAATATCTAAATAATTCTAATAAACATTTCTAATTTCTTAAGTTCCTTGTTCCTGACATGGTATATTAATAATAATTATTGTCATTTCCTCCTATAGTAAAAACTTTATTTTTTATCAAAACAATAGTGTCGCCAACAAATAGAATTCCGGTGGCATCTAAAAGAAGCTTTAATAGCATTATGTGTATTTTTAACACCTATCTAATGACCTGAATTTGGAGATTTAAGGGCTGTGGCAGGATTTGGATTCATCTGTTTTGTATGGAGAGTGATGCCATGCATTTAGTTGGATCCCAGGCATTGAGCACAGCAGACCTCTGCCCTGGATGTTAGTTTTGAGTGGTCATTGAACAGTGTGTTGTCATGAGGCAAAAGGCAGAAAAATAGGTTGGTGTGTGGACAAACAGACTTGATTAGTTCCATATGAAATGCCCTGGAAACCAGAAGAGTAAGTGGAGGCAAATAAAATAGCACTTCATTCTGGAGAAATTCTGTTACACAACAACCACTGTTTAAAGTGAAATACCACAGGGAGCTAGCTTGAGCCCTGCTTATCTAGGGGTTGTTGTAGGTTGTACCTTGTCACAAATCACCTAATGTACAGAATCACAGACTGATTGAGGTGGGAAGGGACCTCCAAAGATGATCTGGTCCAACTCACCTGCTCAGGCAAGGCCCACTACAGCCAACTGTCCAAGGCTGTGTCCAGTCAGACTCTGAATATCTTTGTGTCTTAGGAAAAGCACCTTTGAATTGCAATGACTTCAGAGATGCCAGGTCCCACTGGGTTTGCAGCTCAGCAGGTAACAGGTGGACAAGGTACCACTGATCAACAAATTACCAGCAACTCTCAGCTCCTGCTAAGTTTCAATCTATAGGATAAAGTTTTAGTTTGGGAAAGAAAAGTTAAATCCAGCATTTATTACTAGTCACTGCTCTTGATCACGAACTCCTCCAAAATTTGGAATTTAAACTCAGGATGTGCCTATTTCACAAAATTGTCCTCTCAGCAGCATCTATCCAACTCATTTTTCTCTGACTAGCTCAGATGAAATGTTATCTTTCTTATATTATCCATTCTTTTTCTAATTTGATTGGCACAGGACAATGGTTATGTACCTGAAGATCTTGATTCTGCTAGTGGCACCATGGGGAGTGTCAAGATCAGTGGGAGAGAATTTTAAAGAATCATGAAATGGTTTGGATTGGAAGGGACCTTAACAATCACATAGTTACAACCCCTCTGCTATGGGCAGGAACACCTTCCATTTGACCAGATTCAGGGTCCAATCCCACTGACTTTGAACACTTCCAGGGATGAGGCATCCACAACTTCTCTAGGCAACCTGTTCCAGTACCTTACCACCTTCACAGTAAAGAATTTCTTCCACATATTTAACCTAAATTTTCCCTCTTTCAGTTACCATTTGTTAATTTTTCGTTAACTTTTTTCAACTCTCAAGGAGTGCTAAAAAACTGTCACTAATAAAACTGTGTGGAATCAAATCGAAGCAACCAGGCTAAAGTGAAAATTTGAATTTATTCTCTTGTTTTTCTCTAGCGTGGTTAGTTCTTTGTAAATCTCATTTTTTTTGTTTTGAAACTACAACTGGTGTAACATGTCTGTAAAGGTAAAGCTTGTATTAATTTGCTACCTGTGAGCATATAAAATAAAAACTAAGTCAGAATAAACTTATGCTGGAGGAAGTATTGAATGGAGTGATTGTGGAGCTTTGTAGTTTTTATAATAAATATTTTGCTTTAGCACCCTCTCTCGGACACAAACCAGTACTGCTGGTGTTTATTTTTAAAGGCTTAGTCAAAGCTGTAAAGGTACAGTGGGTCCAGGAAAAGTCCCTGGCTGCAGACACAGATACAGTTAAGTTATGTGGCTTGGTATTCTATAAGTTGACTTAAATAGAATTTTCCTATCACTCTTATGCTTATCATCTTTACACAAATAGTCTGTGTTGTTCACTTAAGCCAGCCAAGAGCTGGGAAAAGATTGATGACTCCAAAGCAAATACCGAAGGCGAGTTCTTACAAAAGACCATAGTTGGATGCGCTGTTCTCTTCTTACATCAGTAGTATTTAGTGTTAGGATAGCATACGGAGGCCCCAGTTTGGGATCATGGCCTTGCTGTGTTGAGACCTACACCAAAGAGTTCACAGTGTGATGCGTAATGGTGTAGCGCAGATGGATGGGTGGGACAAAGCTGTTCTCTGTACTCCTGTTCTCTGTACTCTGTACTCCTGCCCCAGGAAAGAGAAGTGTGTTAATGCCAAAAAGAAGGTCAGCAGTGTGAAAGACACTGAGTACATTCTGAATAGCAGAAAGGCCCACAGTTCGCACCTTCTGCATGAACTGTCACTACCTGGCCAGCTTCTGGGATACAGATGATAGGCAGTCAAACTCCTATATGTTGTTTTGGCTCCAGTAGTTGGTATGGTTGCCAGCTACCTTCAAAGACAGTGTATGTGCCAAGAGAAGGATTAAAAAATTAGGACATCAGAACAAAAACTGCCCGGATTACTTTAACTTGCTCTCCTTGTGCATTTTCATTTTAATAAGCCTTATTTGCAATAATAGCCTTCGGCAAGACTCCTCAGTGCATGGTGGGGATGATAATAAACAAAGAGGAGGCCATGAATGATGCAAGGGCCCACAAGAGGACAAAAAATAATCTTGTTAAAGTGGCTGAAATTCCTTTTCTGGACTAGAATACACACCTTATATAAGATAATTTCTGTGATATTTACATATCTTTTTTCCACAGCTGGTCAATGATTTTATTCTTCCTTCTGCTGTCTGCCTCTAGGTAACTGAGTGTAGATTTGTTGAACTGCTGAACACTTAGACCAGTATCTGACATCACAGAAAGCTGTGCGACAAAGACTAAACACAAGGGAGACATGAGAATTTTCCCCATATGCCAGCTCAAAAAGAGGTCAGAAGGGGCAGTCGAAAACCAGTTGATATTTCAAACGTATTTCAGCCTCAGTCCTCTCCCTGGTGAAGGAGAGATAATAACATCCCTCCCCTTGTCTTGCTATGCAAACACAAACACTAGTTAACTGGCTGCTGTGAAACAACTGGTTAGTCTAGATGCATCAGCTCTTGCACCCTGAAAATAAGGCTTGTGCCCTCAGCATCTGCACCCTTCTTCCCTGAGCTAAAGAGTCTTTAGCTCCCTTATTC